GGGTTACTTAGGTAGCTCATTCTAGGAGTTTCTCTGCTGCTAAGGGTTTCTTTCAAGGTTACCTTGCTAGTCACCCTCGGAGAAGAATGAATTCACATCTCCCGACTTCCATCTTAGAACTCTGGCGGATAAAGTCAGAGGTTGGCTTGGCTTCCCTGCAGCTACTTTTTGCCAGGTTTCTTGTTGTAGCTTGCTTTAAAATGTCTCTTGTGATAGTCATAACTTTCATGTAGCCAAAAAAAAAAAAAGTTGGTTTCGGGGAGACTCTTTTGAGCTTTAGTTGTCTAGATCAGACCATCTAACTTTGATAACTTAATATTCAAGTTTAAAGAACTGATTTTATCCAATGCTTCTGGAAGCCATAACAGAACATTTAATTTTCAGTATTTACATTGAAATTACAATCAGCCTGGTTAAGAGCAGTGGCTGCTCTTCCAGAGGAACTGGGTTCAAGTCCTGGCACCCACATGGTAACACACAACTGTCTGTAACTTCGGTTCCAGGGTATCTGACACCTTCACACAGATACATGTGCGGGCAAAACACCAATGCACATTAAGAAGAGAGAAAGGAAAGAAAGAAAGAAGAAAGGAAAGAAAGAACAAAAGAAAGAAGGAAGGAAGGAAAGAAAGAAGGAAGGAAGGAAGGAAGGAAGGAAGGAAAGAAGAAAAGAAAGAAAGAAAGAAGGAAGGAAGGGAAGAAAGAAGGAAAAGACAAACTATAACCACTCTGTAGGATTTAAGACACCTTTGTGGAAAGCTAAACCATAGGGTTGAACAGGGACTTTTAAGATTTCTAGGGTCTATCCCTTTTCACCATCCTCACAGTCGCTTTTCCTTTCTTTCCAGAGTCCTGTGTTACAGTACTTGTTTTTCTTAGCCCAGATTCCAATCGCCATGTCACCATTAAGTAACAACAGCCTGTTTCTCGAATACGCCAAAAATCCTTTCTTGGATTTCCTCCAGAAAGGCCTGATGATCTCGCTGTCAACCGATGACCCGATGCAATTCCATTTTACCAAGGTACACGCCGAAGCGTGAGCAATGCAAGTGTGTTTTGCGGCGCCATCACTCCCCACCCAGAAACTGAAAGTCCAATCAAGGCACTTCTTCCTCCTCTTTACGTAGGATGGTAGTGTTTCTTTTCTAAGGCACCCCTCTCCTTATTTACATAAATAACTGCAGGAGCCCCTGATGGAAGAATATGCCATTGCTGCGCAAGTCTTCAAGCTGAGCACCTGCGACATGTGTGAGGTGGCCAGGAACAGTGTCCTGCAGTGTGGAATTTCTCACGAGGTAGACTGGATTGTAGCTGACTGCCCTTCTGAGCATGGGGGTCTAGCGATCTACACATTGAAAAATTAGTGGAATGCCGGGCGGTGGTGGTGCATGGCTTTAATCCCAGCACTAGGGAGGCAGAGGCAGGTGAAGCTCTGTGAGTTCGAGGCCAGCCTGGTCTACAGAGTGAGTTCCCGGACAGGCTCCAAAACAACCGAGAAACCCTGTCTCGAAAAAATAATAATAATAAAGAAAAGAAAGAAAAAAGAAAAATTATTGGAAATGAGGGGCGTGAGGAAAGACATGGATACATGAGGAGAAGCTGATGCACAAGCCACATACAGTTGCTATGATAGGGACTAGAAAAGACTATTCTGGGCTGGGGATTTAGCTAAGGGAGTGGTAGAGCCTGGAAGGCTCTGATTTGAATCCTTGTGCCTCCCCCACTGAGTTCTGTCCTCTGGCCATGTCTCTCAGGAAATAATACATTTGATTTCTCAGGGAACATGCACACAGAGGCACCAAATGAATGGCTTGCTGTTTTTCCTTTGGTTTATGAGTAACATGAAGATTACGGTGGAGGATGTGATCACCGTCTATCTCAGTGGGAAAAGGAGACATTGAGCTTTCTCCTCCCGTTGTCTTACAGGAAAAAGCCAAGTTTCTGGGCAATAATTACCTGGAGGAAGGCCCCGTTGGAAATGACATCCGGAGGACAAATGTCGCTCAAATTCGCATGGCCTATCGCTACGAAACTTGGTGTTATGAACTCAACTTAATTGCGGAGGGTCTCAAACCAACAGAATAAATAAAGAAACTGGATAACGCTGTGAGTGGGGTTTTCACTGAGTCTGAACCCTGTAGTACCAGTTATCACGACCCTACTCTTAAATAAGGCAAGCATTGTATTAAGTGCTTCACTGATATTTCATCTACTCAGTTCCTTTCCTGCCTTTGTACAGTAGATATAATTTCTATTTTAGTGATAACGAGCAAATGCGAATTAGCTAAAGTCCTTTGTGAGGGACAGCGGTGGGGATGTAAGGTTGTGTAACTACAGAGCCTGCACGACTTTCAGGCAGGAGAGTTATCAGAGGTAGCCAAGGACACAAGCCAGTGAGCCAATGCTGAGAGACGGTGGGCTTTAGGACTATAGAAACAGAACACAGTTAAGGCACTTGGATCCATTGAAAAGTTCCTTGACAAAGCTTAAGTCTATCGGGGCTTTCTTCCACAAAGTCAGACCAGATATGAGAAAGTTTAGAAAACCGGCATCTCTGAGCAGAACCGAGGGAAGATTTACCCTAGCTGGTGTTATTCTTAAAAAACGATGAGAGAGCTGCTGCAAACGGTCCCCGGGCCGGCTGGCGGAGGGAGCCGGCCATGAGGGCGGCTACAGGAGGGCACGCTTCCTTGGCCCACGGTGGCGGCAGGTAACAGACACGTAAACACAGGAAATAGCCATAAGTATTTATTAAGGAAGGGGGAGAAAGAAAGACAGAGAAAAGAGATAAAAAGGAGAGAGGAGAGATAAAAGAAGAGAGAGAGAGAGAGAAAACGCGTGCGCACGCTAAGGAAGCAGAAAGAGAGAGAGGGACCCAAGATGGCGATGGGAGGGTCAGAGGTTATGGGAGTGGGCGTGGCTAGGGCAGGGACCCAAGAATAATAGCTGGAGACTTCAGCTTGCTGAAGCAGGAGAGGCCTGCGAGGTACGGTGGTGCACGCCTTCAGTCCCAACACACTGAGGCAGAGGCAGGCAGATCTCTGAGTTCAAACAATCCTGGTCTACAAGGTGTGTGTCAGGACAGCCAAAGCGCTACACAGTGAAGCTCTGTCTAGAGAGAGACAGAGAGACAAGGATAAAGATGCTGGGTACTTCAGGTCAGGAGATGCTCAGGTCCTCCGGATTCCATTTGTTCACACACAGCTGTGTTGCCATCTAGTGGTTAGGTTGATATTTCACTCAGTTTATTTAAAAAAGTAGTTATAGACCAAACTATCAGACACCAAGAGCGAAAAGATGGTTTTCATTCTCCTTCAAGCTGATCACCCTTGAGGCTACAGGATATGTGAAAAGGGAACTCCTCAAGACACCTCAGAATGTAGTGAGAGCAAATTCATGCATGTTTTCCCTTTCTGCACAGGTAGCAGAGAGCTTAGGTGTGTCCCTTAGGACATGTTTGTACTGGGGTGGTGTAAGACTCCTCTTCCTGGTTTCAGAAGTTAAAAATTCGGTTTGGTGAGTGCTTATTTGCTAAGAAGCTGATTTTATGTTGACTTCCTAGCCACCAAAATAATACAAATCACTTAATATTATTCTCGGACTTACATTGTAGTAGGACAGTTACTATCAGAGCCAGCTCCATCCTAACCATGAGAGGGCAACAGAATACACACGGGAATTCATTTATTCTGCTTGTCTTGGAATCCCAGGTTCCTTCATTCTGCCAAAGAACCTTCCTGGATGCAAAGTTCAAAACATGAATTTCAAAAACACTCCTTCAGTTCCGAATTTCATCTTGTACAACTTATCTGGGATACTTTCCAAATCGATTAGATTCAAAGTCGGTTGTGATGGCTCACGCCTGTGCTGGCACTCCGGAAGAAGGGGTGGGAAGATGAGAAGTTTGAGGCAGGCCAGCCTGGGCTACACTGTGAGACGCTATAAAAAATAATCTATAAAAAATAATAAGACACACATCTATGTATAAAGAAAGATGGCATACACTTTAGGGAAGGGAGTGATGAAGTTCAGAAAGACCAGTGTCTATAATTTATTCCAAACAAGATTCACACTATTTCCTCACTAGATTTTTTTTTAAAGGTACTGTCTGTCGTTACTTCTCCCTCACCAAATCCTTTTATTGTCCCTACCTCATGACTTCACAACGGATTGGGACATGCTGCCTTTTTTGTCATTGCTAAATTGGCTGGTGACAGTCACCCGTGATGTGTAATCAAACACCTCTCTGCGGCAGTCTTCTATTTTAGTACTTCTGTGTGAACAAGCGAGGGAAACTTGGTTACCAGACACAAGGTCTGATGGGGTGGGGTGGGGTGGGTGGGGCGGTTAGATAGTGCTGGGAACTAGGCTCCACTCATCCCAGTCTCGCAGAGTGAAACTGGGCTACTCTGGCAGCAGGCACCGAGCCATGTGCATACCTGAGCAAGATCGTGTTGCCGGCAGGAGCGCTTAAGCGTGAGTCTTAACCGGGTGTGGCGACCTGGTCGACACGGGGAGTGGGCATCCAAAGCATCCGGCTGGGGAGTCCAAACCCGGGGCCAGGTGCGTTATTGGCACATTCCAATAGCTCAGTAGGCGCCCTGTACACCTTTATCTTGGGGGATCTCTACTAACTAATGTTCCCAAGGAATGTTTGCTCACTGAGTTGCTTTATGGTTTTCATAAAGGAGGTGCTGTTTGCTCCTGATACAACTAGGCTCTCCCTCGAGGTGCGAGTCCGTCGCGTGTGGTTGGTCCGACAGCAGATCCGGAAACAGAGTTTTGGCTCCGCCAAGCTTGGGCCAAGGTCGCAGCAGGGAGCCAACGAGCACTCTGGCGCACCAGAGTCGGGGGGCGGAGAGACCGCCAGGCATGGGTTTTGGGCAGGGTGCAGAGACCGGGGAAGGGCGGAGCCTGTGGGTGGGCGTGGGGCGTGTCCAGGCCGAGAAGGGGCGTGTTCGGGGGCGGGGACTGCGATCTGCGGGGGCGGGACGAAGAGGCCAGAGTTGGATCCCAGAGGCCACAGATGCGAGTATCCTTGCGGGAGTCGGTGTCGCGGCCCAGGCAGGTAGGCGATGGGATGCGGCCGGCCCGGGAGTGAGGCGGCGGGGCCTCGGTCTCTCAGCTGTTGGCGTTGCCCCTGGGGGCGTCCCGTGTGTCAGTGGTCTCCAGGGAGCTGGGCACTTTGGGCCAAGGGAAGGCGGGTGGCAGCCTGCGTGAAAGCCGCAGCCGCAGGCGCTGTTGGGGGCGCGGGCGGAGGAGCCGGGCGCTCGCCACCCGGAGGAAACGCGCCTCTCAGGCGGTCTTGAACTTGGACGTGCCCGGACGGTGCACTTGAAACAGCGGTAAAGAGTGTATGCGTGCTCTTTGCCTCCAAACAGTCTGGCAGGCTCAATAGTGGAAGTCGTCAAGTAGTTTTTTTAAGTAAAAAACTCAACAGTGGGCCTGGAAGTACAACTGTGGAGTAGCCAGGAGAGAAGATGATGATTAGATTATGAGTCAGTAGGCTCCACTCTGGAGCTCCGGCCCACAAACAAAACGTCGCACCTCCGCCAGGGCAACTTTTTCCTTGCTTGGTTCCCATAAGTGTAAAACTGGGACGCCCATGGGTGTTCTCATGGTCAAAGGACAGGAGTGACCGCGTTCAGCAGATGTCAGGCATTGTTTGATACACATGCACACTGGAGCACGTCTAGTCTGTGAAACTACTAAGTGCTTAGCGTTCAGTAGGCGACCTGCACACCTTTATCTCAAAGCTGCTGATTCGCCTACAGTATGTTAGATAGGTTCTAACTTCTGCCTACTATGTAAATAAGCTATTTACGCTTCTTTTCCACACAATCACCATTGTTTGGAGAGCGGATCTATTCTTAACTGAGTCATGAACTTTTCTAAAATAGCATACTATCTGTATAGTGTTGTGGAATCATTTGCCATGAAGTTTGTACCAATCAGAGAGACTCTTTTCCTCGGCCTTAGATAAATAGTCACTGTTGAAGATATCTGACCGAGTGAGCTGAGAGCATTGCTTCAAAGCAGGACTTAAATTTGTTTTTGTAAATTGAGGGGCTCCTTATAGGAAGATCTGAATCTTCTAAAGCAGTTAATACGTAGCTGTGGGTTTTGTACAGTTTTTATTATAGACGGCTATGTCCTTTCCTTGTACAAATTAGGGGGAGATGGGAAATTAAAAAAAAAAAAGGAATAGCAGGCTGTAACCAGGAGGTTTCTACTAGGGGTACTGACGGGTGCCTGGAGTCGTTTCAAAGGCAGAAACCAGGAGCTGCAGTAACCATCTCATGGCCTTCCATTAGTCTGTCAAATGTGGCAATAGACTTAGACTTTTTTTAGACTCGGAAATATCAGTGCTTTTGATGGAGAGCTGTAGGCAGCCTCTTTCCTTTTCTAATTTAAAATGTAAAATTAGGGATGTGGATGTAGCTATTGGTGATGTATGTACCTACCACGCACAGAGTCCTGGGTGCAGTCCCAGTACTTGGTAAACTGGGCATAGCGGTTCACACCTCCCACCCCAGCATAAGAGAGGTGCACATTGGGGTTCAAAAGCTCAGGCCATTGACTGTATGGTGAGTTTGAGGCCAGCCTGGGTATATGTGTGACTCCACTACCATGCAGAACAAAACAAAATTAAAAATTCCTTGTATTAAGGGTTAGAGAGATGGCTTAGGGTGTAAGGGCACTTGCTGCCAAGTCTGAAGAGCTGAGTTCAGTCCCCAGGATGTGTAGAAGGAGAGAACCAGCTCCTGCAGATTGTCCTCTGACCTCCAAATGTATCCCACCACATTGCCTCCCCCCACAAACTAATAAATGTAATAAAAATTTATTTATTATATGTGTGGGCACACAGGGCACATGTTTAGAGGGGAAGAAACAATTTGTGAGACTTAATTTTCTTCTTCTGTCCTGTGGGTTCTGGGGTGTGAGTTCAGGCTCCATGGCAAGCTCCCCGCCCTGCTGAGCTGTCTCGTTGGCCCTTCTTTTCTCTTGCTTTGCAGGTTGAATCTAGGGTCTTGTGACTACTAGAACTCTACCACTGAGCCACACCCCCAGCCCCAGCTGGAAGTCATATAGTTATTACTGTTTGGTTTTTCGAGACAGGGTTTCTCTGTAGCTTTGGAACCTGTCCTGGAACTAACTCTTATAGACCAGGCTGGCTTCGAACTCACAGAGATCCACCTGCCTCTGCTTCTCTAGTGCTGGGATTAAAGGCATGCGCCACCACTGCCTGGCTGAAATCATATTACTTTTAAATGATCTGTAGCGGTCCTTTTGCTATAGGTACTGTATACCATAGTGGAATTAAGTGGAGGTCTAGAGGGGAAATTACTAGTAAATAATTTTGTGCTCTTTTAAGAGTTTTCTTTGTGAGGCTGGAGAGAAGACCCAGTGACTAAAAGCACTTGATGCTCTTCCAGAGGACCTGAGTTCAGTTTCTAGCACACATGTCTGGTAGTATACAACTGCTTGTAACTCCAGCATCATGGGATCTGATATCCTCTTCTGCCTTCCAAAGACATAAATGTAGTATATGCTTACACACACATATATAAATATAAATATAAATATATATATATAAATTGAAAAATGAAATTTATGCCCTGGCAATGCTGAAGCCTGTATATGACAGCTCTGTTGAACTTGTCCATGTTGGGTTTCATGGTCTAAGTTGATGAGGATGACAGACCAGGTCTCTTCTTCAAGAGAGCACCAGATCTCATTGCAGATGGTTGTAAGCCACCGTGTAGTTGCTGGGAATTGAACTCAGGACCTTTGGAAGAGCAGACAGTGCTCTTAAGCCATCTCTCCAGTCATGTATATACACACACACATACATGTAAATAAAAATAAATCTTTAGTCCAGTGTAATGGCGCATGCCTTTAATCCTACCACATGGGAGGCAGAAGAAGTGTATCTCTATGAGTTCAAGACCAGCCTGGTCTACATAGTGAGTTTCATGCTAGCCAAGCTATTATGATGAGTTTTGTTTCAAATAGAAAAAAAAACTTATAGAAAAAGTTTTATTTAAACCTTTTCAACAATTTAGTGGGAAAATAGGTGTTTTGAAACTTTTGTTTTGTTTCTGAGACAGGTTGGCCTTATGTAGCTCAGGCTGCCCTCAAACATGCAGTAAATTCTATCTAGATCTGAGAGCTAGGATTGTGGTGTTTGCCACTAAGATTGTCTAAAACTATTTTTCAAACCAACTTTAAGCATGTTCTGCATAATGAGTTTACTGAAAGTTTATTTGTTGATCTTACAGGTCTAACTAACACCTTGTATTTGTTTTACTTACTGAGCAACTGTCAAGGCATAGTTGAGAACCTACACTGTTGGCACGCATGGGAAGGAGGCCTCCTTCCTGGGAGCGTATGTGCTCCTTCTGCTGAGGGGGCTAAGAAAGTACTGGAAAGCCATTTGGAAAGCTCAGCGCAGGCAGCGTCCTGAATTCATTCTGTGTATTAGCTTTTTAGTCCTCACAAAATGTACCACTGAGGGATGCTGTCACCATGAGAGGCACAAAATGTACCACTGAGGGATGCTGTCACCATGAGAGGCACAGGGAAGATGAGTGACCGCCTGCCACCACGTCAGGCGGCGGAGGTGTCAGGCTGCAATGGTCCTGAGCTCAGTGCTCAATCTCTGCCATGGATTGAGTTCAAATTCTGTAAGACACAGTGAAATCCACCAGGTATTTAAAAGACAGAATTTTTATGAATCTCAAATCAGACAGGCAGAGAGAGAGAGAGAGAGAGAGAGAGAGAGAGAGAGAGAGAGGGAGGGAGGGAGAAGAGGAGGAGGGACAGACAGAAAAACTGGTATTACAAGATATAGAGGCATGTCCAAGCTACAGTTTAATTATACTTTGTATGTAAAACTTTTTTTTTCTTCTGGTGAATGACATGGGATTCTCCTTGTTTTTAAACTCCCAGCCACTTAGGGCATTATCTTAGCAATATAAGATGTGTCTGTTTTCAATAAGGAGTTTAAAATACCTGTTCGCAAACCATGACTTAAATGTTAGAAGCCGGAGAAGAAATGTCCCAGTCATGGTGGTTATACCTGCACTCCTAGTGCCTGGAAGGCTAAGGCAGGAAGCAGGAAATTTTGTAGGCTGAGTTGGGCTAAGTAGGGAACTCTGTCCCCAAACAATAAATAAATAAAGTCACTGTAGTTTTAGTATTATAATAGAGGTATAAATATAATTGAACGGGAAACAATGTGGTAGGGAGGAGGGCTGTAGAAAAGGTTGAATCAAGTACCATATTTGAATTGATTTTGAGGGATGGCTAGGAGTTTGCCCAGCTCGCGGAAGGTATGGATGAGGGCCAGGGCTCTTTGTGACGTACAGTAAGTTCAAGAAATGCGTTCTGGTTACTAAAGTCAGAGGTACAGAGATGGGTGGTTGGGCTAAAAATAATGTAGAAAAAGAAAATTGCAGAGCATGGTTGTTTATTCCATTAGATCACTGCAATTGCTAGGTAAGTGTGGGGGTAGGCCCCCTGACTTGGAATAAAGAAATGACTGATTAAGTTCAGCTCGGCAAAATCTTTCACTGTAGCATATGGTATTGAAGTTTTTTTTTTAAATACTTTTTAAGTAACATGAATTTTTAACAAATACATAGTTTAAAGCTATGATTCGGCAGTGGCGGGGGGGGGGGGATGAGTCTGTGGACACCAGTTATAGGAGAGAATCTGTGTGAGGACCTCGCAACTGAGTCTGGAGACAATGGAGACCCAGAGAAGGGTCAGCAGTAATTAGACAAGATTACATACTGATGGTTCTGTGTGGTGGCTGGATTGAATGAAGCCAGGCAGAAGGCAGGGAGATAGGTTTGGAGGTTGATAAGATAGATAGGCCAAGTTTGCTATTGAAGTACTCCTGGTGGGGCAGATGAGAATCCGGAGGAAGAGGAGAGGGCAGCCATGAAGACAGGGGATGGGGAGTGTTCGAGAATCCATTAGCGGAGGAGCAAAAAGGGCAATGACTTTGTTTCTTAGCTTGGAAAACTCAGTGACTACAGAGGCTGGCTTTATTATTTTTCA